TCTTAAAGTGCTCTAGGAGATAGCACAAAAACACCCCGTATCACGTAGCAGATTAGCGACGCCAGAAGACCGTGGTACGCTTGCGCCGTAAACGAGGAGGCTACACACAACTCAAAGTCGTAGTAGATATCTCGATCGTAGACTCGAAAGACGTGTCAAACAAAGGAGCGAGACATGGAAAAACGTGCATATACTATGAAGCAATTCTCTATGTCATGGCGCTCGTCCTGATGATCGCTGCCGTCACGGCCTGCTGAGGTCCCCAGCATCTCCGTGTGGCTCGGGCATTAGGATGCCGCCGTCAGTAGAGCGTGCCGACGTTGGCCGTGAGCTGTCGGCCACGAAGAAGAGGATATGGCGATGAATACAAGCGCAGCGCACGACGGCCGGTGCGAGTAGCCGCATGCAGGCTCGACGTCGAGACACGATTCGAGCGTTGACGGGATGTACGTACTAGTAGAGTGTGGCGGCAGCAACCAGAGCGTGGACGCGCCGTCGGATCGGATATGTGGCCGCAGCGCGAACCGTTCTGGACGCGCAAGCGCTTGACGTCGCGGCGGTCATGATGCTAAACATATATCGCTCGCAGCGTCGTCGCAGGTCTTGGGAGCTTGGAGGAGCGCATCTCGGAGGCGATCCGTGGCCAACGTGCGAGAGGCCGTGGAAAAATTGGCCAGGACTCCGCCCAAGGGCCGACTCGGTGGCTCGTCACGCATAGATAAGCTGCGCCATACCTGCAGCGACGTCGCGTGAGCGTCCCTGCCTGAGGCCTGCGCACGGCTTGCCACGTACCACGTGCCTGGGCTGGCGGGTTCGAGAACTGCGGTCTGGCGATTTGCTCGAAATCTTGGCCGCTCTGATTGACCACAAATCGAACGTCTGGTCGCTCGGATTGGCCACACATCGAACATCTTGTCGCTAGGATTGGCTGAAACGCCTTGGCCTTGGCGTCGACGAAAATGAGGGAGACCGACGAGAGACGCTGCATTGCGACCGAGCGACACCTCATGATGGCGTAGAGAATGCTGATGGAGTCTCCTCGAGCACAACGCAGCAGCGTCAGTGGTGCTCGAGGAGCCTCGGCGTCGTCTTTCTGGCGTCGCCGGTCCTCACTGTCTCATTATTGGCGTTCGCCATTTACAACCAGAATTACCATATTTTGGTCAACACAGGCCGGCCGCGCCGGCGGATCGACCAGAATGAAGTTTGAAAATGAAATCGCCCATACTTGCCAGAGTGCTAGACCACACTTTGGGGAGTCCGAAATGCTATGTGACATCGCCGTGCGAGCTCTGTAGCGAGAGCAAATGACAGCGGCAAACAATTTCTGATATACTATTAGTACTGTGCTTTTTTGCCATACTGAAATACTGTACGGGATACAAGGCCTCATCACGCAGTGGTACCGCGCGCACTTTGCCTCCCTCGGCCACGTGCACCACACTCTCTCACATGAACCAAAAGAGACAGCGTCCTCGGTTTCCGCGATTTCGCCGCATTTCCAACCGAAATTGCATGTCGAATTTCCTGAAAACCGACGCTCGGCAGTTTGAGTTTGGTGTGAGTGCCCAAGCAACGACGGCGACCAAGAAGATGGTCGCACACCGGGTCGAAACCCATCGCCAACTGTGGCAGCCAGTTTTACGGTCCTTGGAGCTTTGGAACCCCGTGATATCACGTAGAGTATTTGGGCAATTCTGCCACCACCTCGAAAATGGAAAATGGATTTCCGCGTGATTGCGCTACGTGCAGTGTCGGAAACGACATGTACGTCATTCAACAAGTGTCTGGAGAGGTATACCCGGCTGCTACGTGGTGCTGGCGCGTCTGTGGGCAGCTACTCGTCGTTGTGCTGCATGGTGCTCACACTACTTGGAGGTCGTGAAACAAGTCTTGTGATTGGCTAAAAAGAATCAAGAATGGAGCCAATTACAACCAGATCGAGTTGCAAACCCGATCCACAAGCACAAGAAGTGACGCGCGCAAACATCAAGAAGGTCCGGCGCGACGAGCGGCTGCACGAAGAGGCAGAGCGCGCTGCCTTGCGCGAGAAGCGCAAGCGGACCTCGACGGCTGCGTTGAGGCGCTCGAGAAGACCAAGCCGGCCATCGACCTCTTTGCGCCCGACAAGACCGCGCCGCCGCCGGTCGCCAGCATCAAGCAGTGCACAGACGACGGCATCGCGCTCGGCGGCGCACTGAGCCCGGTCCACTGCCAGATAGGCCGACGCAAGCCGCCCTCGCAACCCTGCCCTCCAGCAGAACCAAGACGACAACGACGCCACCGAGGCGCCACGTGCAGCGCCCATGGCTGCGATCGTGAGCCGGCCCGTGGTGCTCATGGCCGCCGCCAATGATATGCGGGAAGCTGACGCGCTCGACTGTGCCGGTAATACGACGAACACGAAGCTCAAGAAGACGAAGAAAGCCAAGTCATCGTGGTCTTCATCCAGCCGCCTCGAGCATCTTCGACGCGAGCGCGAGGCCGTCAAGCAACGCCGACTCGAGACGCTCCTTCGGCGCCAATGCAGGGCTGCTCCATGTAGATATCTATATATGAAAGCAAACAACAGTCGGTCGTGACCGGTGGACCTTTGAGATGACCAAGGTAGCATCCTTGTGTCTAGTTTATCTCTTCTACAGTCGACCCCGCGTCTGCACCATACCCTCACTTTGC